AATGCAGAACTGGAATTAATTTGCAAATTGGACACCATTAAATTAGGCTTGAATAAAGACTAGGAGTGGATGGGTCATTACACAAAGAACTATTTCCCCATGCTAATTTTTCCCCTACTGTTACTCACACCTTCTTGTCAGCTGTTTGAAATGGGCCACCCTGATTATCACTACAAAAGTTTGTTTTGTCCTGCTGCTAATAGCCCACCTTAATTGATTATTCTCATTAGAGTTGGTATGGCAACACCCATTTTTCCATGTTCTCTGTGTATATATGTTTTCCTACTATATTTTCCACTGCATGCATCTGATGAAGTGGATTTTAGCCCATGAAAGCTTATGCCCAAATAAATTTGTTAGTCTCTAAGGTGCCACAAGTACTCCACAAACTAAGGGGTGAATCAAAGCTTGTAAAGGCAAAGCAGTGTGAAAGAGCAATCCCCCAGTGAGAATGAGAGATCAAGGGAGATAGCCACTAAGGGTAATACAGTAAGGTATCCTAATAATCATGTTAACACCTAGATCTAAAATGGAGCTCCAATGGAGCAGAGCTGATTCCTTCCATTGTCCAGATTCAGAAAGTTGCCTGCTCCCTCAGCTTGGGAAATACTCCCCTAGAATCCTATGCCCCCTCTGTGTACAACATGGCTGCTGCCTGTACACCCCTCTCCCCACTCCCTTTGCTATCACTGTTGGCCTTACCTGCACTACCCTACATGAGGATGGCAAGCTGCACAGATTATATCCTGATCAGCGCTGTGAATGGTTATGCTTCCTTTTGAAGGTTTCTGGAGAGTCACTGGTTTGTGTGGGTCACACAGATGAACCATATTCCAATGGAAATTGACTGTGAGAAGCACAGAGACTGGCTCAGCGCTCAGGTAATGGCTGGGATATTAATGTCCCATAATAGGTTAGAAATTCGCTTGCCCTTCAGAGAACAGCTGGATTATCATTGACTACCTGGCCCCAATGTTTAGTTTGAAAGCATTCCTCATTCACGTCTGGAGAAGTGCAAGGTTCAAGGGGCTTCACAACAACCCTCCTTCATAAGTGTATTGGCACACAGGTGTGTAAATCAGAAGTAACTCCATGGCATTCAATGGGCCAGAGCCTCAGGTGTAAATCAGTTTAGCTTCTTTGACTTCAGTGGAGATATACAAGGCCAGCTGAGGACCTAGACTCACCAAACATGTACAACCAGAGGAGGAGATACCATGCCTCTTACCTGCAGTGTTCTAAGATTAATTCAGCTCTCACTTGGCCTGCGTCTCCTCTCCATTATACTGGTGTAAATCAGAAATAGTTCCAATAACATCAGTAGAAAGCGGGTGTAGCTGAGTTGAGTAGGAGATGGATTCTCCTACATCAAGTTACAGTATCTACTGTCTACTGAGGCCCTCAAGGGATAGCTTTCAAAGTCTGGCAGTCACCATCTCTCTCTTGGGTCCAGATCCAGTAAATGCTTAAGCATTTGCTTAGCTTTAAGCATGTAAATAGTCCCACTGTAGTTCACTACTCATGTGTATGATGAGAAGCACATGCTTACCTGTTTTGTTGGATGGGGGATTTGGAGAAAGAACAGATCTGACACTGATGTGATTTTAAGCTGAGTTGTTTGGAAACACCTATTGCTCATGCAGTCACCATGCAGAATTCACTGCCACAGCTTAGCAAGGAAAAGAATGTAAGAGAATTTTAAGAAAGACTATGTAATTGTATGCTCATGAATCCCAATGGTAGCTATGCCAGCTAAGCAAATGTTCCCAGCCTGTTGAAACCTCATGCTTCAGGGTTCAGCCGATGACCTGTGTGCAGCTGGGAAGGTAATCTTCCTGTTCCCTCCCTTCCATCCCCTACCTCCCACAAAGTCGTAGTATTACACAGCTGGCTGGATGTACAATGGCCTCTTGTTTTGCCTGGCTTTGACACACTGGGTATAGGGAGTGTTGAAGGCAGGATACCAACTAGATGAAACTGAGGCAGTATGGCAACCCCTATGGTGCCTCACACGTGCAGTTCACTTTCCGAAACTTGAGAGAATCCCTGATCAAGCCTCTCTGGTGACAGAGACGTGGAATTGATGCCTTGCAGCCTTCTCTCCTTCCTAGGTTAGTGGAGCCATGCAAGAGGATGTGGTTATTCCCTAAGGAGTGGGGGAGTTGATCACTCTTCTTTTAGTGCCCCCAGCCCTCTCTGTCAATCTGCCTCTGGTTCAGAAGGGATGGACATCTCAGGAGCAATTTGCTATTGGAGATAGGGCGGTACTATTATGATAACTAAAAGAAGAACAGAGAGGGATCTAAACGAGTGGGAACACCCTGACATCAGCTCTGTTATCATGAAGGACAACCTGCAATGTGATGTGCTGCACATCTTGGAGCTAGGAGCCAGGAGCCGTTTCCAAGATAGGCTGAGACTATGAACACTCTAGTAGTTTAACTGGCCTGGCACCATTAGCCTCTTTGTCAGTTACCAAGGTGGTCTTCCTGGTCTCAAGCCCCAGGGTGCATCAGGGGAATATACAGTAGGTCAGCAGAGGCCAGATGGGATTGGTCTAGAGCAGTATAGGGAATACAGCTAGTGCAGGAGAAGTCGCATAAGAGAATATTTCATCCAACAGCTTGGTAGTGCAGTAAGGTGCACACGACTGCTTGGTTTGAAGTACCTCCTCTGCCTTCTGCAGCGTGCAAGAAAAGCCTGCACCAATTGGCCCAGGCTTCATTAAAATTCACTGTCGGCATCTTGTCTTTGCAGTTGGCAGCTACCTGTAATATCGAGCAGTCCTTTTTCAATGACTGGTTCACCGGGCACCTGAACTTCCAAATCGAGCACCAGTGAGTATGGGCTCAGGGGGATGGGAAGGAATCTTATGGACACAACCAGGTCACCACCTGGCCAGTCAAGGCTGGGCTTGGGGGAAGGGTGCAAGCATTATGGGGCGGCAGTAAGCAGGGAAGGAAAAGGGACCTCAGGAACATCATGCATGAAATCAGAAGAAACAACTGCAGTCATCCTTTCATTTCACCACTAAACACAAATATCTTTCACCTGTTGCCACCAGCAAATTCCCCTTTCACCCTCACAATTTTAATTTAGAGTCTGATTCAGGACTCATTGATTAAAATGGCCATTAAATCAGGTCCTTGGGTTCATTTGGTTTGGAGTGTTTCCTTTCAACTATCTGAAGGGGGGTTCCAAAGAGGATGGAGCTTGACTGTTCTCAGTGGTGGCAGATGACAGAACAAGGAGCAATGGTCTCAAGTTGCCGTGGGGGAGGTCTAGGTTGGATATTAGGAAACACTATTTCACTAGGAGGGTGGTGAAGCACTGGAATGCGTTACCTAGGGAGGTGGTGGAGTCTCCTTCCTTGGAGGTTTTTAAGGCCCGGCTTGACAAAGCCCTGGCTGGGATGATTTAGTTGGGAATTGGTCCTGCTTTGAGCAGGGGGTTGGACTAGATGACCTCCTGAGGTCCCTTCCAACCCTGATATTCTATGAGTCTATGATTCTAGTCACTTCAGTAATTCCCTCTACCTCTTCCCAACCTCTGATTTATGTAGCTTTAATGCAACTGCATAGGACTATCTGCAGTTCTAGGTACCCTAGTTCAGCAAAGATGTCAAAAGATAAGATCAATTATGATAAATGCTGTCCATGACAGTACAAAAATTAGTGGAGAGGTCATATGGAGTAAGACTGAAGGACCCGGAAGTTGATTTAGGGAATGAAAGAGAACCTAACAGAGCTGCAGAAGATAATTCTTTATCTGTTTGTCTGGGCTATGAACTTCCAGACAATTTAGCTTGTCAATAGACAATTAGTTGTTGTCCAAAGGGAATGCAACTTAAGTCGCAGTGGGGGAGGTTTAGGTTGGATATTAGGAAAAACGTTTTCACTAGGAGGGTGGTGAAGCACTGGAATGGGTTCCCTAGGGAGGTGGTGGAATCTTCATCCTTAGAGGTTTTTAAGGCCCGACTTGACAAAGCCCTGGCTGGGATGATTTAGTTGGGGATTGGTCCTGCTTTGAACAGGGGATTGGACTAGTTGACCTCCTGAGGTCTCTTCCAACCCTAATATTCTATGATTCTATGATTCTATGACAGCAATCTCAGCAGATCAAGTGAGATTTCCTCACTCCTTATTTTTCTAGCACTCCCTGTTTTCTAATCTGATCTTTCATTCTTTCCAAGTACGTTTTTGTTTTGGGGCATGACAGCAGGAATGGGAATCAATACATTCAATTTTCAAGAGCATTTCTTTAAAGGGGGTACTTCAAAGCTTGGATTTCTCCCTCTCGCTCTGTTCTGTCTGCCTGTTTTGCTTGGACAGAAGCAGTAATTAGCCCTAAGAGGAAGCAGAAAGTGTCTGTTCCCAGGGGTCTGTCATTAGGTTTTTCTCAGGCTCTCTCTACTTCTTTATTCAAGCCTGTTTCCCATGATGCCACGACACAATTACTGCAAGATTGCCCCACTGGTGAAGTCATTGTGCACCAAGTACGGAGTCCACTATGAAGAGAAATCTCTCGGCAAGGCATTCATAGACATTGTTGGGTAAGGGGCCTTCAGTACTACTCATGGGTGTATGTAGCCTGTAGTGCCAGTGCCAGCCTTCCAGTAATCTCTTGTCTATTTTACTATAAAAAGCTCTGTTCATAGATACCTGTGCCTAGAGCAGTGGCATCAGAGCTGTAAAATATTTGTTTGGTGTAGGAGTGATAACCTTTTTGCACCAAACTAAAAAGCATCTGGATTTTTACTGTAGAAATGACATAGCTCCATTGACTTCAGTGGAGTAACAACCATTTCTGAGCCAGATCCCCAGTTACGTAATGTCATAGAGAAGAAAAGGACAAAGCTATCTGAAAAACAGCAGGTTCCAGCTCTCTAACCCACAGACTCCTTCCACCCTGGCCCTCAAACAAGGAGAAATCAGGAGTGACTTGCTCAGTGATTACCAAGTCACCACTGAATTCCCCCAAGAGATGTTCATCCCTTTCTAGCACCTTTCGTACCATGCTATTCAGGTGGCTAGCCCTTTAAATCAAGTAGCTATGGGCCTAACGTAGCCATTTTGCACCTGACTCTTGCAGACAGCACCTTCCTATTGCTCAGCTGACATTCCCAAAGAAGTGGCACATCCTCAGGATGGGGGAAATAGGTGGACATTAAGACAAAAGGCCCAGATCTTGAGCCACACTGAGTCCTGTTTGTGCCCCTCCAGCAGCAAAGAGGGCACTTCAAAGCACACATATGCTCAGGATTTATGTGCTAAAGAAGCAGTTGAGGATTACTCCACCATTGCAGAATCCTCAGCTGGCAAAGAGTTAGCATCACTGATTCTGTACCGCCTACTCCAACGGGGGCCTGTTGGGGGTGGGAGGGGTTGTGGAAACTGCATGCTACCGTAACAGCCTCTAAGGAACCAATCTAAGCTGGCACAAGTTAGTGCAATCCTTAAAAGGATGGAAAAGTGGCAGCAAACCACCTTTGCTCTCCCCCCCCCCCTTGCCCTCAGATGCATCAAGTACTGCTCTGATGCACAGGGGGATTCTGCCAAATGTTTCTCAGGACAGTGGCCACATGGCTATAACACAAATTCTCTGAAACCATGAAACATGGGTGTTGTCTGAATTGTAACTAGAAGGAGTTCCTGCTGCAGAACATATTGAGCTACTTTCTGGCACTTTGTATAAAGTCCTCCTACTACAAAGGGCAGGGTACATAACACTCAGTGGAAACCTCCGCACGCTCAGAGAGAGACAGATTCAGGTAGCTTCACTCCCCACTGAAGTCAATGAGCCCACCTATGGAGTAAGGGACTGCGATTCAATGTCAGTAAGAGTATTACAATCTGGCCCATAGTGTCAGCCCAGCCAAATGCGGCAGCAGCAACCTCCTGTGTACAGTGAGGAAGCGCATGTGGCCCTCGTTTGGGAGAGTAAGAACCGACAGTCCTCTCAGTGGAATTCCCCCACATTCACACAGCATCACTTCCAGGCCGTGCATGGCATCTCCAGCCACCTCATCTCATTGAGAGGAATATTTGATCCATAATAGCCCAAATCTGTTGCATTCTCCATGTCTGATTGTCTTCAGAGAGCTGCTGTGGAAGGGAATTCTGTATGAGGGGTGATGCAGAGGAAGAAGGGGGGAATTCTTGTATGTGTGCAGCTTGGTCTGCATGGTTAGGCAGGGATAGTTCCAGTGTGTAGAGCTACAATTTGTTTTCTTTTGGGTCAGCTCCTCAGTGGGTGTAAATCAGTGTAATGCCCATGAAGTCTGTGGAGTTAATCTGATGGACACTACCTGAGGATTGTGCCCATTGTGTTTTAAGTCAAGTTGTGTACGGAGCGAGATAGGCACTTCGTCTCGCTTTATAGACCCAACGTTCGGGAAGGACTATTGACCTCCTGAGGAATGATGGTTGGATTCAGAAGTGGGCAATGCCTTGCAGAATCTCTGTTCAGGTAGGCCGGTGAGTCCTGCTTTACTAATGCCTCTCTTCTCTTTCCATAGGTCTCTAAAGAAATCTGGACATCTCTGGTTGGATGCCTACCTCCATAAATGAAACTGCATCGTAGTGGGGAGGTGCGAGTGATGGGGGAAGGACCATGTGTTTTTGTTCTTTTGTTTTTTACTGTCAGATTTTCAGCCTATATCTGTGTGCACAGTTGGAGGGGAGTTTCCTGTCTTGTAAAATGCTACTGGGGAGTGGCGGGGGGGGAGGTTTAAGACACCTTTTTAAACCAGAGGGATTTTTAAATGTGTTTGGCACAGTCTTCAGAAGATGAGTTAAAAGATCCATTTCATACCACCCGGCTGGAAATTAACCAAGCTGAGTGGAGTTTTCTGTTTTGAAGGGGGAGGATGAGAGAGTGGGGTGGATAACCAGAAGAGCAATTTCTTCCCTCCCTTCCCTCTTCCTGAGCCATTCACTGCAGCCCTAGCCTCAATCCCACACACACACAGGCACTTGATTCATAAACATGATCAGGCCAGCATCAAAGAGCTTCTGCATCTGTTCCAATATTTACAATCCCAGAAACCCCAATCAGCTTACGTCCTTTTCCCCCTTCTGATGCTGGTGCAGAGGAACAACAGCCCAGGATTGGATTGTGTTCAAAAACAAAAAAACCCAAAAGCCTGTTTGATCACCAACAGAACGGCGAAGTCTCTTGGCTGCGCTGCCTGCTGCATCCTCCCTGGAGAATTGGGAGGTGCAGCTGTGAGCAGCAGGTGCTGCATTATTTAGTCTGTCTGCCTCGCTCAGAGCCCTGCTGTGGCTTTGTCTCTCACTCAGCCTCTTTCTCTCTCTGAGCACAGCGCTGCGAACTCCCGCATTAGCTTTGCTGGGACTCTACACAGGCACAAGTATCCAACTGCATGGGCCTCAGTGCTGGATCAGGCTCTGTGTGTGTTTTTACTGCTCACCCCTGTTTTCAGGGGTCTGCAACTCAGCTCTGGGCTGAAACAGCAAGAGGGATTTAACAATCACTTAGTCGGGTTTTCTTTCCATGTGGCCCATTAACACTGCTGAGATGTCTGCTAACTAATGATAATATTGATGTATATAACAAATTGACCTGCCCATTGCAGATGCTTTATTGTGCTCTTTGGGCAGGAGAGGTTGCAGCTACTTAACACAAATACAGCAGAGAACCAAGCTACCCTGGTTTTACATTTGGTGTGAAACTTTCCATAGAGCACTGAGAAATGTCTTAAATTGTCTAGACCTATTTTCTGTCTGATACACAGTTACCCAAGAACCATTAGTGGCTCTAGTGGAGGGTAGTGTTCAGTTGGTTCCGTGACACACGGCCCAATCCAAAGCCAACTGGTAGCAATAGAAAGTCTTCCATAGACAGCAGTTGGCTTTACATTAGGCCTGGAGACTTTAATTTAATACAGTTGAAAGCAAGACAGATGTGACATTCCAGTAATATTAAGGGCCAAGGTTTCTAAAAAAAGGCCTCTAAACTTCTGCCCATCCCTCATTGCTTGTTCAAAACCCACATTTCCTTGTGCAAAATAGGTATTTAGTCATGCAGTTACCTAACAGCAAGTTTGCAAGCACATCATTAGGTCCCAATCCCACAACTGCATCTCCCCAAGCAGATCCTATCACTCAGATCAAGGCCAGCTCCAGGCACCAGCTTGGCAAGCAGGTGCTTGGGGCGGCCACTCTGGAGAGGGGCGGCATGTCCAGCTATTCGGCGGCAATTCGGCAGATGGTCCCTCACTCCCACTCGGAGTGAAGGACCTTCCGCCAATTGCCGCCGCAGATCACGATCGCGGCTTTTTTTTTTTTTGGCTGCCTGGGGCGGCCAAAACCCTGGAGCCGGCCCTGACCCAGATGGTGCTCCACTAAAATCAACAGGGCTCTGCCTGCCTGGAGGCAGCTGCAGGACTGGGGCTTAACACTTGAGAAAGTTTAACCCGCTTTAGAAAATGTCTCCCTGAAGATCAGATTTTACTGCACTAAAGCCAGGAAATTCATAGTGGACATTGTAATTTAACCAATCCACTGATGCCTGAAGTTTGTAGGGGACTCTAAATAGTTGGGTGATTATACACACCCTGTTGATTGCAATACTTAAATATCACCACAGGTGGTTAGAATCAAGTTTTATTGTCCTGGTGGTGTTTCAGTTTCAACCAGACCTTGAACACCTTTTATATTGCAGTCCCTGGGGTTCCAATCTCTAATAGCATAATTAACAGTATCCTTCTGTATTTTGTAATCTTTTTGAACAAGGTAGTAATGAGTTAGCATGGGATTGTGGAAAACACCATTGAAACTGCCTTAATCTCAGTCTCTTTTTAATTCAATGAATGTATCTCACTTTCTCTGCTCCAGGAGGGATGAGCACAAACATACTGCAGCACCTGCTTTGCAGTCTTCCAAACAGGCAGCTCGCTTTTCGAGAAGATTCAGATTCTTTGCTCCTCCAGTTCTTTTTTCCAAAACAAACTCTGAGTTTGGCTGCTGCTTCCTCTGGGCTCTGGCCCCTTTCTCTTTGCTGTCTGTCTTGTTGGAATGTTGTCCATTTGCATGGTAAACGTCCAGAGGAATCTCAGGAGAGTGGTGACCCAATAGACCCATCCCAAACCAGTAGCCTTATTCTAGTCACGTGCTTTTGTAGTGGTCATTGATCAGCTTACTGGAGGGACTTGTGTTTTATTAAAAGAATAATGCAATTCCAGTAGGGCACTCTGCATTGCCAATGCTTGGGAGATGGCAGCTATCACTACTGACAGCTGTAGAACCTCGGAACATTCTAGAAAAGCAATGGGGCTGGGCACCATGCAGAAGGAAGGGCCAGTCCTTAAACAGAACAATTGTTTCATTTGTCCTGAGCAACAACAAACAAAATCATAAATGGAACAAGTAGGGACAGGCAAGTGCCTGATATTGGCTCTTCCCTCTCACCCAGGCGAGCTGGGTGCTTTAGATCAAACTATAGAAACATTCTTGTTCATGGAAAACTCTGAGTCACTAAGACCTGCAAAATAAAAACTATGCCATTTTATAGTTGGGAGAGATTTGAGTGTCGTATTGTTACGTCTACTGGGAGATGAAAGTCCTCTCTCTACAGAGGATCAAGTCACTGACTCCACCATAACTTGCAAGTGTGTTTATCTTACTTTATGTATTAATGTAACCTATGCCTGCTGAGTGTGGTGCTCTAGTGGCAGCTAGACCACCTAGAGATTAATGAGTCTGCTACAGCATTGGCTAGGAGGCATGTGGCTTTTAGCTCATGCAATACAGGTTCATGCATTTAACTCCAGAGGTCCCAAGTTCAGTGCTGACAACTGGGGTCTGTTAGTGTCACACTAACATGCAAACCAAATTCTCTTATGAAAACTGTATGTGTTGGGAACAATGTCAGCTGTATCTGTCAATTTTGCCTCTGGGGCCAGTCCCACTTAATCACCTTTCCAAATGAGCAGTGTTCTTCTCAAAACTTCCCTCTTTCGCTGGAACTGAGGCCTCTTTTCTCTCCCTCCCTCCAACTCCAGACAGTCTTTTATTTAGACAAAGGTGTGTCCAGTTGCAGCAACTCAATAGAGTGACAAGGTCTCCATTCATACATTGGAGTGAGTCAGGCTGAGCCCCGGTGTAAAGGGATGAATCAGGCTCATTGTATTCAGAGAAGTGAAAAACTTTCATGATGAAATTTGAAATTCTAATCAACTAGCCTGAAAGGTGCAGAGCAGTTTGCAACCCGGGGCAGCAGAGAGAGATCCTGGCTTTATTGAAGGCTTTGGAATGAAAGTCAAGAACCACTGAAGTGGCCTTGTATGGCTTTGGTCCCAAACCAGCCTAAACTCTGCAATTTTAGCTGATTTCGACTTTGTGTTTGTAGGTTTGAACTTGACACTCAAACTGAAATTCAGGGGTGCAAACATGGAAAATTAAAACCTAGTTTGCCCAAATCCCCAGAGAACAGCAATCAACGAGTTCCCCTCCCAGAGTGAGCAGGGAAAAATCTATAATGTTTTCTCTCTTTTGATTATTTATTGCTTTTGAATGAGATACAAGCACACAACAAACTCTAGGACATGCAGGGAGCCTGTTGGGGCTTTTAGGAAACAAGCCTGAGCCATGCCATGGGTGACTTGGCCTTTGGCAACATGCAGGCCATTTCCAGAGGCTGTGGGTTGGAAGTAAGCAGCTTGTTTCGGACAGGACAATTGAGTGGGTAGACCTGGAGGAACAATCTTTGCTTCCCTCCAGTTAGCAAGGGGCGGGGTGGAATGTTGAGGCTAGAAGGTTCCTTGGCAGTTGGGATTGGCAGTTGGAGGGGGAAGGAGTTACCTGCTGAAAGTGGGGCAGGAGCCCTGGGCGGGGAGATGGGGAGTACAGGTGGGAAGGGGGAGGTCATAGGGAGCTGGGGGATGTGTGAGGGGAACAGGGTCAGGGATGTGAGCATGGGGCAGAAAAGAAATCAGCAGGGGAAAGAGGACGAGGAGAGAGAGGAAACCAGGCTGAGATCAACAGTCCCACATTCTCTCTCATGTCATCGTTACTTGACCAGATAATGGGCTTCAAGGCTGGATTGTGGCTAGCCCTGCATGGGTGCACAAGGAGGGAGGACAACAGCTCAAGGAGCGCTCCCTTTCACAAGGAAGGAGAAGGCTCACTCCCAATCCTTGATCTCCCTGAGTAAAGACTGGGTGCATCTAATGCAAGCAGCAATACTAGACAACCCAAAGAGTTGGGTTTTGGACCCATCCTACTCCTACCTAGTTAGCAGAACAGGGCCAGTGCGGGGGAGGGGGAAGAAAACACACACTGCACACTTTAAAGGGGTGTTTCAGTTCTCTCTGAAGTGTGCACTTCTCTAGCACTCTGGGAGACATGCTGGGTGAGCCAGCTAAGAAATCTCCTAAAAGCTGTGGGGTAGATCCTCAGCGGGTGTAAATCTTGCCACTCCATTGCTGTCAATAGATCTGTGCCAGTTTGCACCAGCTGGGGATCTGGTCCTCCAAGTAAATCCTCACAGTAATTAGTCTGTTGTGGTGAGGGGTAAAAAAGGGTCAGGGGACCTACTGCTGAGGATTCGTGTACCATGGATAACACCATCCACACATATCAATAGAGGTCTGTGTCAAAATGCCTCCTTTCTGTAACAAGCTGCTATACATCGGCCATAGCCTCTTCCAACAGATACTTTTCTAAAAGCCACCCTAACAGAGCCCTAAAATATAGTGTGTGTCTAGAGGTAGTTAAAAAAAAAGCATCAATTCAAAAATCATCATAGAAAAGCTCCTGACTGTATCATTCTTCAATAAATATTTCAGTAAATCAAAGGAACTATTTTTTCTAGTGTATCTTCTCAATAAATTCATAACTGTTGACTATAAAACCGTTCAATGTGGTTTATTCACTCACATTCAAAGTCATTGCTGTCCATAGTGAAACCTGTTGATGTATATGCTTCTCGGGCAGCTGCAGATGTACAAACACACTGAAGGCATGCAACAAGGAAGAGCTATCTAACCTAATTAGGGCATTTTTAGGACACCCATCGCTGTATTATCTGAACACCAGGGCAGCACACCATTCCTTATGTCTGGAGTTGTGTCAAGGACGTGTGTTTAAATCCAGTACTAGCTGGGTTTGGGGTGGGATTTAAGGCTTGTTCAGCCAGGGGGGTAATGGCACTATGGGGTGTGATTTCTAAAGCACTGTGTTGCATGTTAATTGATTTGTATATACCCTGTTGGTGCACATTAAAGTTTCCCCGTGCGCTTTTACATAATGCTCTTTCAGTATGACTTGTGTAGACTTGTGTGATTTAAGGCTGAATCTGGTACATGGTTCAGGATCCGTTTTGTTAGTGCTGTTCTTTTTAACTGCTTCCAATTCCAAATCAGAGATGAAGCAGCTTTTTCCTATTTTGAATCCCCAAACCAGACCCCCAAGCCATAAGAACAGCTGATGTCCAGACCTGCCTGGGCCTCAGAGGGATTAGGATTTAAAGTTCCAGTTGTGGCTGTCTGCTTATTACAAATTACCACTTTCTAACTAGCCATATTTAGCAGACATGACTTTTGTGAATGTCTCTGGGGAACCCTCTGTGTTCTATGATAGCCCCAGCCTCTTGCTTTGTGGGAATGAGTTGGTGTGGTGACTATTTAAGCCATTGAAAATAGACATCTCGGCATGCTTTTGTATTAGAGGGTGTAAACCTTGAAGAGCAGGAGAGTTCCTTCATCTGTGAATGAACTTGGAGCCACAAAATAGTCTTACGTTCTTAATACAGAAGAAACTATGACAGTCCTGTCGATAGCCACTCCAGCCCTGCAACAGTCCCTTCTTCTTGAGACTTGGTCCTCCAGCTGAGCCACATTGTACTCCCACCATTTTGAGGGTAATAGAATGTCCAACAAACAACAGTCCAATGTCCTTACACAATGTCTTTGGACCTGACTCTGGCCCCCACAGTTCTCACACTTTTCTCTCAGGGATCTCAATCATCCTTGTACCTTTCTCAGGGGCTTCATGTTGCATTACCAGGCCCTCCCACTGCACTGGGTTCCAGGCCAGGGACCTTAGGACAGACCATCAAGGTTCACCACCAAACTCCTTGCTGCCACCTTCCTGGACTTCTTCCTACCAACAGGTCTCTCCTACAGCCCTCTAAGTTCACCCTTCTTTCAGAGCAAGGACTCAAATGTCTCTTCCCTGAACTCCCCCAATAAACCTCAAACCAAAAGTATAAACTTAAACCAATGTCTGCCCTCCTCAGGCTTGACCTTTCATACCTCTGTTCCTCTTGCTCTGTTCCTCCACTGAACATGTTGCAAGGCTCTCTTCCTGGAAGCCCAGCCCCTACCCTTTTATCACCACCAGACCCAGTTCCATCCCAAGTGGCTGCTCCATGTCTCTTCTGGCCTCCTGCTAGATTTTGCTACAAAGGAGAGGATCCCAGGGTCAACTCTCCCCCCAGGAAAAAAATTCTGTCCGCGTCAAAAGCTTGATCCTGCACCACTTAAGTCAATGGGGCTTTTGCCACTCACTTCAATAAGAGCAGGATCAAGCCTGTAGACAGCAGCATGATGTGGTGATTCAGAGTTCTCACCATGGAACCTCAGGAAGTCTCCCTGCAGCCTAGTTTTGGAATGCAGTTCCACTATGTTTGGGCTTCTTTTGGGTGGGGGAAGGTGGTCCCTGCATGTAAACTTCCTGAAGGCAGCCCAATCTGAGGCACTTTCTTGAATAGTTTCTAGGCTGGCTATGGACAAAGAGGGGATGTCACAGAAGCAACCTTTTGCTCAAATCTCTGCTTTCATCACAAAGCAAACTGGAGATTGTGTGCAGCTCCCACAAGGCACAATCCTGGGAGGTGCTCCCCTCCCTTGAAATTAATGGGAAGTGAAGATTCTCAACCAGGATCAGGACCATAAGGACAATGATGAATGTGTCAGGTAGGAAGGAGGTTATTGAAGAGAAAGCTCCAGTTTGCACACATGTACTATACATTTTCTCTTTGCACAAATCCACCAGAGACATGATTGGTTGGTAGATTCATCATGAGTATGATTATCATGTTACCAATATCGACAGCAAGGAATGCCTCAGACAATTTCTGCATGCTAAATTCACTGTTATTCCCCATCTTGTTGCTCTCTGCAGGGTGAGAAATCTACTGGTAATGAGTGAAACTGCACTGCTAACTTATATTGTTGAAAATATTGATTTTAAATATATAGGGGCAGCTCCACAGGTGCTATAAATTCGGTTTAGTCCTTTGAAGTTAATAGTGAAACTGATTTACACCAGTTGCGAATTTGGCTCATAAAATACTTTATGTATAATTGCAAAATATATCATTTTGATTAGAGAAAACGGGAGGAATGTCTTATAAATTTCTCAAAGATTTATAAGAAGAGAAAAATGACCTTGTTCACAACTCCACAAATCACAAAGGATATAAATAATATACATAATGTCAAAACTGTTCATTTATCTTGTTTATCCCTAAGTATCACATGTTTGACCAAAAAAATGACAATCATTCAGACAGTTATTGTAACATACAAAATCTAATATCAAAAGAAGATAACTAAAATAATCAACTGTACACAAATAGATAATCACTATGGTCAGTTATGTACAAGCAATAGAGAGAGTGTATTTTTGAAAATTAAATACTTTGGTTAACAAAAATGCATCTGTGCTAATTTGATTGCCCAAGTTCTCAGAAAAAAAAATGAAAGACTTTCCTCCAGACTCTTGGACTTTAATTCATCTCTATGCTAAGAACAAGCATGAGAAATTTCAATCCTGAACTGTTTTCCAAAGCTATAATTACTGGAAATGGGGACTGAGAATGCAAGCCCCACATCAAGCATAACTGTAAGGAAAATAGCAATTGAATAAGTGCATTCTGGCAAAAATAGTCACAAATAAGCAAATATGGCTAGCAAAGAAAATGCAGAAAGACCAACATATCTGGGATTCCATTCCATATCATACATGCCAAATCTGATGTTTTAAGAATCCAGCCTCTTTTTCGCTTGAGAAGTGCTCATGAACCGATTAAAATGTCCTCATATGTATTTGTTCAGATTTAGCTGATTAATTTCAGGGAGGTTTTTCATCTAGGGTTTACTACAAACAATTCACTATAGAGTATCCATTATTCAAGATTAATCATGGGTTGGTTATATGTTACTAACCACATATATCATGTCGTATTGTTCCTGAGATAGGAGCATAGCTCTTAGTGTTTGTCCATACTTGGGATTATCCCTAACTCAGACAGCGTTGGCCAATAACCACGGTACACAAAGAAAGCTGCTCAGCACCAGTAAAGATTACTTCATTTCAAGCACTGGTATCACCACTGATATATATCATGGCTTTCTTTATATACACTTGGGTTTTGCTCTGATGCAGCTATACCAATTGCTGGCCACCAATGGCTTAATTCAGCAGTTCTCAAACTGACGGTTGGGACCCCAAAGTAGGTCGTGACCCCGTTTTAATGGGGTCACTGGGGCTGACATTTGACTTACTGGGGCCCAGGGCCAGAGCCCAAGCCTCACCACCTGGAGCCAAAGCCCATGGGCTTCAGCCTTGGGTGGCAGAACTCAGGCTTCAGCTTCAGCCCTGGGCAGCAGAGCTCAGGTTACAGGCTCCTCACCCCAGGGCTGAAGCCCAAGTTGGCCCCCGCACCTCAGGTGATGGGCTTGAGCTTTGGCCCCCTGGCCGGGGCAGAAGGGCTCTAGTGGGCTCAGGCTTCGGTTCCCCCTGCTGGGGGTCATGTCGTAATTTTTGTTGTCAGAAGGGAGTCATCGTGCAATGAATTTTGAGAACCCCTGGCTTAATCTGAAGTACAAACAAGACCTTAAATATTTAGGATGCCACGGAGGCTCTGAGTGTATCAGGGAGACAGATAAACTTGATTGGGGGATGTTGACCCTTTTTCTTCCAGGCCACACAAGCCTTGCCAGAGGCATCATTCCCAGAACAGTGTAGGTCACTGTGAGATTTATCGGCTGGATGTTAACATTTAATCTTCTCTAATCACTTACACTTAGAGTAATTGCATGTGAGTGGAGTCCTCGTTTCAAAGGATGCAACTGTGACGGGTTGGACCCCTTGGGAAGCCACCGGATGTGCTGAAATACCACTAAGTCTATCTGTTCTGCCAGCCTGGGCCCCCTTTAACCTGTCTTGCTGAGCCAGGTTCTTAAAACCGCCTCTAACACATACAGGCAGGGCCACAACCAGCTGCAAATCAGCTCTCAGAGGAGGGATAGCTCAGTGGTTTGAGCATTGGCCTGCTAAACCCAGGGTTGTGAGCTCAATCCTTGAGGGGGCCATTTAGGGAACTGCGGGAAAAATCTGTCTGGGGATTAGTCCTGCTTTGAGGAGGGGGTTAGACTAGATGACCTCCTGAGGTCCCTTCCAACCCTGATATTCTATGATAACATTTCCAATGATATCTTGCAAAAAGTACCTCTCAGTTATGTCATATTCATCATAAGCACATTTTCATAAGGAATATGGAATGTAATGTCACAGCAACCAGATCACTGCACTCTTGTCAGGACTCCATGATTCCTGTCTCCCTTTTGTGACCATCCCACATAAAGCAGTGATCATCCCATATGAAGCATACCAAGTGCATTTCATTTATTAGCCTGTGATTTTCTGTCTTTATCACAGCCATAGGCACAAAGCAATTACAGCTATGTTCATGGTTCTAGTTGCAAAGGGTGCCATCTAACCTTTGGGCTTAACCCAAAGCCCAGTGAAATTAGTGGGAATCTTTTCATTGATTTCAATGGGTATTGGAACAGGCCTTTTGTCTGGACACAGATAGTTTAGTTGCCTTTCCATCAGGACTCAGGC